CACTTTGCAATCAGGAATCTGTTTTAGACATTTCCCTTCCCCGTCTTTGATAAATCGATTTTTTTATGTAAGCTTTTAAATTATTTAAACAAAAGCTGTACTTGGAAAAACATCTTATTTTGTATCCTCTTGTTGAAAAAAGGAATTTCTGGTCCTTTTAACGTGATAAAGGTGCTGGAGATATAATCATTTATTTGTAAAAAACCTTAATGTATTATAGAATTTGTTATCACTTGAAAAAAATTCCTAACAACTGGTTTGTTTTTCTTATCTCCGTTTCCTTTGCTTTTCTCATTCTCCCTTTTCCAGAATGTGAGAATCAATCGCACGCTAAATGCAGAAAGTATTACGGAGGATCTTGCAAGAAGAGATGCGACATAGACGAATACACGTCCAGCTGCAGGAATGGGTGCAAGTGCTGCGGCTGCAAGACGGAGGGCAAGTGCGCGGCGGTGGGCGGCAAGTGCCAGCCAACCAACCACAAGTGCCCCTCGGGAACATCTGTCCCTTCGTGGTGCAAGGGAACCAGATGCACATGTTGCATTCCCCGTATGTATATGTGATGCTTTCATGCCTTCGTCTTCCTCGCTTTTCTTTAGATTGCCTTTCAAAACTAGCTTGATCCTGGATCTGCTGAAGGATATTGGCTTATAGGTGTATCTATCTATAATCAATTCGTCGCCTCGAGTTATCTTGACTCACTCTCGAGAACACGCGGCCCTTCCTCTTTCTCTCTCTCTTTTTCTCTCTCTCTTACCTTTACCACTACTGCCTGTGAGAAACCGGGCAACTACTTTATCCACTGAGTGACTAACGACTGTGACTATGTTCATTGTTACACTAGCTGGGAGAGGGAGAGGGAGAGGGAGGAAGGAGGGAGGGAAGGAGGGAGGGAGGGAGGAAGAGAGAGGGAGAGAGAGAGGGAGAGAGAGAGAGAAAGAGAGAGGGAGAGAGAGAGGGAGAGAGAGAGAGAAAGAGAGAGGGAGAGAGAGAGGGAGAGAGAGAGAGAAAGTGAGAGAGAGAGAGAGAGAGAGAGAGAGAGAGAGAGAGAGAGAGAGAGAGAGAGAGAATGAGAGAAGAGAGAGAGAGGGAGAGAGAGAGAGAGAGAGAGAGAGAGAGAGAGAGAGAGAGAGAGAGAGAGAGAGAGAGAGAGAGAGAGAGAGAGAGAGGGAGAGAGAGAGGGAGAGAGAGAGAGAGAGAGGAGACAGGCAGACAGAGACAAAAGCAGAACAGGGGTTAGGTACTCGCATGGATGTGAAATACCCTAGGTTTTAACCTACTGCGCAAATATAGGGAAGCTTGTTGTGTATTTTCAAACTAATCAGGAATATTGGAAGTAGCCATACACACACACACGCACGCGCACACGCACACACACACGCACATGTACACACACACGCACACACACACACACACACACATACACCCCCCCCCCCCCCCCACACACACACACATGCACGCGCGGATATGCTCACAGATACAGAAGCACACACACAATGCAGACGCACATGGATCGCACTCCACGAAATCCATCTGACCCCCCCCCCCCCCTCTCTCCCTTCTATCCTCCCCCAGCCGCCGACCCGTGCCCCGACCCCCAAGACAAGTGCCACGACCACTGCGGCTACTGCGACCAAGAGTGCCAGCCGGACGAGACACCTCTGCTTGGGCTGTGCGAGAAGGAGAACTGCTACTGCTGCGTCAGAGGTCAGATTTCGTTGCCTGATAAATGGTAAAAGTAATACCATAGCGAAAGTATTACCATGGCGGAAGTATTGCCATGGTCAAAATGTTACTATGGCGGAAGAAATTATATGGTTGCCTTTGTTGAATCTATGAATTTCGGCTTTTTATTACTGGTGTTTGATAGAATCTTCGTCAGAATCATCATTGTTATAAATGTCTTCATTATCATCCTTTCTGTCATCATCTCAATTTTAAGACCATTGTTATCAATAAATCGTTTTTTAAAAATTTAATCTATGATTAGTTCTACTGTCAGTAATAGAAAGATTACAAATATGCCGAAACAGAACCGTGTCCTGATCTGAACATGCAGTGCAACGCCGCCGGTGGATACTGCAACCACGATTGCAAGTCTGACGAACTGGCTCTGCCGGGGCTCTGCAAATACGACAACTGCTCCTGCTGTGTCAAAGGTGAACAGTTACTTATTTTTTGCCTGTATTGTTATGGTACTAATTGTAATAATTATTAGTACTAATATTAATGTTATTGATATACCGATCATACTGACAGGAGTAATAAGCACAATATTAATATTAACATAATATTAACATAATATTAACAATTACAATTCCCCTCATAATTTTTGTTATCATTAGTAGCAAAGTTACCCCTATTATTTTAGTCATTGGTATTATTGATTTATCTTTATCCTGATGACTAAATAAAGTAAAATACATGATTCATTAAATTAATGATCACTGATCTATTTTGTTTTTTTAATACAATGGACCCTGAAAATTTCGAATGCAGAGTTCTCCTTGATATTGTTTATGTATGCAACATGAAAACAAGCTACGCCTTTTTCTTAGAGAGATAAAAAATGTCTTTTACTTTTAGTTCGTATTTTAGATCTGATTTATCTCTAATCTTGCTTCTTTGTGTCTCTTGTATGCTATTAATATTGCCATAACCCTTATCACCAACATCATTATTGATTATCAATATCATTATATTTGAAAGTCTTACATATTGTTTCACTTTTTCTTGATTCAGTTTGTGACACCATAAGAAGTAAAATGTCCACTTCTGCAACAAAGCTTTTTACTTATTCTTAACACCATTTTACTGATATTTTATCATTACTGACTCAGTAGCAAGGAACTAATGCACCCTCTCTGTCGAAGTAGATCCGTGTCCAGATCTGAACATGCAGTGCAACGCCGCTGGTGGATACTGCAACGACAGGTGCAAGTCTGACGAAGTGGCTCTGTCGGGGCTCTGCAGATACGACAACTGCTCCTGCTGTGTCAAGGGTAAACTAGATGTTTTTATTTATTTTATTTGATATATGTGTATTAGTGTCATCATAGTTATTATAAACATCACCTTTTTTATTTCATCATTACCATTATCATTATTTTTGCCATTTGTTCGATCAGAATTACATTGATCACTGTCGAAATAGATCTCTTACTTGTAACCTCTGTGCCGACACAGATCCGTGTCCAGACCTGAACATGCAGTGCAACGCCACTGGTGGATACTGCAACCACGATTGCAAGTCTGACGAAGTGGCTCTGTCGGGGCTCTGCAGATACGACAACTGCTCCTGCTGTGTCAAGGGTAATACGCAATGTGTTTCAACTCCTTTGTTACTTTATACATATGCATATTGTCTTCCACAGGCTACTTCCACATTCAAGTAGAGTCGCTGCAGCACTCCATAATCTCTTCCAGCTGGTTCTGTCTTGTCCCGCTGTTTACTTGTTACCATTGACACAGTCGATCTATATTTGATTTGGTCTCCCTTATCTTCTCCCAGGTAATGCCATCTGTCATACGCTCCAACGAACATAATTCTCGTCTCAGCTGTTGACACGCGCAAATTATCTAAATATTGCTTTCCTGCATCTTTCCGTCTTCTTTTCTAGTTTCATCTGCATCTTAATGTTACTATTCCTCGCACTATCTCCTTTGTAGCCATTTTTCTACCTGCAAATATTCGTCTCTGCCACTTCCAGAACTCTACACTCCAAACAACAGCGTTTGTGATTTTGCAAACCTTTCCCTTCACATCTAGCATTCTTATCGCAAAGCACATTTGCCTATTTCCAACTGTTCCATTTATGTGTTGACTTGCATGTCCATAGATGTTCCATTGAAACTCACGTACTCACTTCTAGATTGTAACACTTTTAAGCCTCATTTCTCATTTTTTTGTTATTTTTTCATCCTGGATGCAATGCCACGCCACCAAACTTCATATGCCAAGCTACTTCTTTGCGAATACCTTCTGTTAGTGCGTCCCTGATGATAACAAACAGGAATATGCCACGATGGTGTCCAACTTCCAAGCGCTTGCTTTTTACTGCTGCACACTTAAACATTGCTTCTCAGTGATGGCACATGCCCTCCGCCACGCTGATGTACTCTTTGAGACACTCTGGTTACACATGGACTAATACAGTTCTTCTCTTGGTCTTTGAAGATCCTGTCCAGGTTTAATTACCTCTTTTCCTGTCTTGTAGTTGTCTAGGTTCGAATTTATCATCTGCTATGGACTTCCCCTTCCCGAAGGCCAGCTGCATTTCACTGATGCTTATGATGTTTGTCAACCCTTTTTTCATAAAGCTTCATGTTCCTCAGCCTTTTTCCATGCACTCTCATAAAGCTTCGTGTCTTGGTACATAAGCTGACTTTTCCTTAATACTTGTAGACTGACATCGAATGCTTTTCCATCATTCCTTTGGTATCTCCTCCTCCAGCTTATCCAGTGCAACTTCCCCCTATCATTATTTCACCTCAATCTATCCCTGTCACTATCACAGTGTGGAGCTCAAACCCACAAATATTCTTACTAAAAGATGAAAAACAATACTCTACTCTGTTTTGGGCTTTTCCTATTATTGCGTCTGCAGACTTCCTCATACTTATTTTACCACCGATTTGGTTGGTTCGCATTCACATAGTAGTCTGTGCTGGTTTTTCACGTTTTAAAACTTAGTAATAATAATAAAAAAAAAGTGGAGAAAACTCTTTTGGAACAAATTCTTTATTTATCATTATTATTGTTATCATTATCGACACCTAAAAAGTCCCAGTGGTCCAGTGGTTAGAGCATCGGACTTTGGATTCGTGACAGATCCAGGTTCGAAGGTTCGAGTCCCGGCCGGCGCGCTGTGCCCTTGGGCAAGGAACTTGACCTCGGCGGCCCCGAAGGAAGGAAACGGGAAACCACCGTCGTACACTCCCTTGTACAACCATGAAATTAAAAAAACATGGTCGCCAACGTCAGGCTCTGATACGGCACAAAAAAGAGAGGAAAAAAAAGTCCCGTTATTTGCCTCTTGTGCGCAGCTCAAGCGTCGGGTGCTGGTGTGGGAAAGAAAACGAGGTTTCCAGCGTTAGTAGAAGATGAGAATCAATATTCGCATTCTTTCAAGGGAGACTAATTGATTATGATTAATAGTTTTTTATACATATATCAATCTATCCATTCATTTTACGCTTTCAGCGTAAAATATACTTGCAGGCCAGAAAAAAAATAGAGCTGAAGTTTTATTACACACTGTACTTTATACACATACTTTGGACAACATTACATAATACTAATTTGCATATGTTAAACATATGGGTTTTATTTACGTGCTCAAGCTTTGTTCTTTTCGATCCAGTCAGTCAGCACTAAGAACTAATCCATTTTCACTGTCGAAACAGATCCATGTCCAGACCTGAACATGCAGTGCAACGCCACTGGTGGATACTGCAACGACAGGTGCAAGTCTGACGAAGTGGCTCTGTCGGGGCTCTGCAGATACGACAACTGCTCCTGCTGTGTCAAGGGTAATGTATCGTGACCTTATTTTTGGTAATGATAAAACACCTCTGTATTATTTTTATTATTATTATTGTTATTATTGTTTTGTTATTATTATTATTATTATTATTATTATTATTATCATCATTATTATTATTATTGATAATACCATTAATGTTATCATTATTACTAATGTTGTTTCATGATCATTTGGTTATTTATTTGTTACTATTTTCTTCGTGTATCAAATAAGTCGCGTTTTCACATTTTACATTCCCAGAATTCTTCACCAAATATTAATTTATGTCATCAGGAAACCTAACATGGACTTTTAGAGCTTTCCTAATTAGGATTCTTATTATATTTAAGCTATATTATGTTCTTTATTTTTTGTCATTTGCTCGATCAGAATTACATGGATCTTTGTCGAAATAGATCTCTTATTTGTAACAATACTTATCATCGTCAAAATTAACGTTGTAGTCCCAATATTAGTCAGCACAAGGGACTAATCCATCCTCTCTGCCGACACAGATCCGTGTCCAGATCTGAACATGCAGTGCAACGCCACTGGTGGATATTGCAACGACAGGTGCAAGTCTGACGAAGTGGCTCTGTCGGGGCTCTGCAGATACGACAACTGCTCCTGCTGTGTCAAGGGTAATGTGTCATTTGCTTTTATATCCATATTACTTCCATGATTATATGAGCAGCAACGATGGTGACGACTATTGGTGATAGTTATCACAGCCATCGGTGTAAATGTCTTCCTTTTTCCTTGCTATTGTTACTAATTCTTTTATTATACTATGATTACATAAGTGTCTCTATACAGTAGATATTACTTCCTACGACCACCTTACTTTTCCCTGATTTTTCCTTTTTCCATATCAAGCTTCTTATAATTGATTATAACTGCACACTATCGTCAACTAAACGAACATAAATGACAAAATAAACGCTATTAGAATTAATCCAGTAACTATGAAAGCTAAGAAAATTTATTTAGCTATCTTCATATTTTACAATCCCTGCATTTTTTCAACGAATAGTAATTCTATATCATCAGGAAACCTAACATGGGTTTTTAGTTTTCTTTTTAAAATGATTCGCTAATTCGGATCCTTATCATATTTTAAACCATATTTTTTTGCCATTTGCTCGATCAGAATTACATTGATCTTTGACGAAATAGATCTCCTTATTTGTAACAATACTTATCATCGTCAAAATTAACGTTGTAGTCCCAATATTAGTCAGCACAAGGGACTAATCCATCCTCTCTGCGGACACAGATCCGTGTCCAGATCTCAACATGCAGTGCAACACTACTGGTGGACATTGCAGCCACGAGTGCAAGTCTGACGAAGTGGCTCTGTCGGGGCTCTGCAGATACGACAACTGCTCCTGCTGTGTCAAGGGTAATGTGTCATTTGCTTTCATATCCATATTACTTCCATGATGATATGAGCAACAACGATGGTGACGACTATTGGTGATAGTTATCACAGCCATCGGTGTAAATGTCTTCCTTTTCCTTTGCTATTGTTACTAATTCTTTATTATACTATGATTACATAAGTGTCTCTATATACAGTAGATATTACTTCCTACGACCACCTTACTTTTCCTGATTTTTCCTTTTTCATATCAAGCTTCTTATAATTGATTATAACTGCACACTATCGTCAACTAAACGAACATAAATGACAAAATAAACGCTATTAGAATTAATCCAGTAACTATGAAAGCTAAGAAAATTTATTTTAGCTATCTTCATATTTTACAATCCCTGCATTTTTCAACGAATATTAATTTATATCATCAGGAAACCTAACATGGGTTTTTAGTTTTCTTTTTAAAATGATTCCGCTAATTCGGATCCTTATCATATTTAAACCATATTTTTTTGCCATTTGCTCGATCAGAATTACATTGATCTTTGACGAAATAGATCTCTTATTTGTAACAATACTTATCATCGTCAAAATTAACGTTGTAGTCCCAATATTAGTCAGCACAAGGGACTAATCCATCCTCTCTGCGGACACAGATCCGTGTCCAGATCTCAACATGCAGTGCAACACTACTGGTGGACATTGCAGCCACGAGTGCAAGTCTGACGAAGTGGCTCTGTCGGGGCTCTGCAGATACGACAACTGCTCCTGCTGTGTCAAGGGTAATGTGTCATTTGCTTTTATATCCATATTACTTCCATGATTATATGAGCAGCAACGATGGTGACGACTATTGGTGATAGTTATCACAGCCATCGGTGTAAATGTCTTCCTTTTCCTTTGCTATTGTTACCAATTCTTTATTATACTATGATTACATAAGTGTCTCTATATACAGTAGATATTACTTCCTACGACCACCTTACTTTCCCTGATTTTTCCTTTTTCATGACAAGCTTCTTATAATTGATTATAACTGCACAATATCGTCAACTAAACGAACATAAATGACAATATAAACGCTATTAGAATTAATCCAGTAGTTATGAAAGCTAAGAAAATTTATTTTAGCTATCTTTATATTTTACAATCCCTGCATTTTTCAACGAATATTAATTTATATCATCAGGAAACCTAACATGGGTTTTTAGTTTTCTTTTTAAAATGATTCCGCTAATTCGGATCCTTATCAAATTTAAACCATATTTTTTTGCCATTTGCTCGATCAGAATTACATTGATCTTTGACGAAATAGATCTCTTATTTGTAACAATACTTATCATCGTCAAAATTAACGTTGTAGTCCCAATATTGGTCAGCACAAGGGACTAATCCATCCTCTCTGCCGACACAGATCCGTGTCCAGATCTGAACATGCAGTGCAACGCCACTGGTGGACATTGCAGCCACGAGTGCAAGTCTGACGAAGTGGCTCTGTCGGGGCTCTGCAGATACGACAACTGCTCCTGCTGTGTCAAGGGTAATGTGTTTATATTTTACTATATGCAATAATAAACTAAACGGTGTTAAAATTAATCCAGTAATTATGAAAGACAGGATAACTTAAACTTCTAAACTATGTGCATTCCTAATTTATCTCTATCTCGTTGCTTTTAGTCAACAACATAAAGAGCTAATCTATCCTCACTGCAGATACAGAACCTTGTCCAGATTTAGAGCAACAGTGTCTCTCCAGACATGGATACTGTAACCATACGTGCCTGCCTGACGAAGTGGCTCTGTCAGGGTTCTGTAAATACGACAACTGCTCCTGCTGTGTCAAGGGTAATCTGCTTCAATTCGCTTTTGAGACCCGTGCATTAAGAATGCCATGAATAATGGGAATCAGTAACTATCGATGGCTTAATGATATTCTACTAATGAAGGGTTCGCAGCCGAATAGATTTCCCTTATCAAATTTTGCGATACAGACACTCACTTAATATTAAGGTTTATACAAATTTCATAAAGGGAATTTAAAAGGAACCTTCTGTCTATCGCTCTGCGAACACAACTACATGTATGTGTGTAGTTTTCCGACCGCTGCGCCTGACTTGACAATGGATAGCTATCCATTATTTTTTTTTTATCCTTATTTTATAAATGCATCATTCGTATATATGCTCTGCCATAATTCGCATTAAAAATAATTTAATTTCTGTAATCGGTAATGATCATCTATTAATCATACGTCAAATATCTATCGTGTAATACAACTTGGTGTTCATGCTACGTGGAAATGAGTGATCAAAATGCAATTCACATTAGATTCTTCCATGTGAGGAAGTATGTATGTGTATATGGAAGAATGTCTTAACAAATGATTAAGCATCTACCGACAGACACTTAAAGGAATAACTATATACGCAGTTATGCAATCCATAACTCTTGTCCATCTAAAACCTTGTTTCTTTTTGGCCTTCTTACCTGTTTCTAGTTGAAGTGAACCAACATTATCTGCGTCATCGCTATCAATTATTTTATTATCGTTCTTATTGTTCTTAATGTTCTTCAGATGTTTATTATGATTATGGTCATGCTTATGTTTCTAACGACTTATATATCTTTTATACCTAACAAAGAGCATTAATAGCCACCTGTAGCCCTGATTCATTTCTAGACATGTTACGCTTGTTTGTTTTTATTTTTCGTGTTTTTTAATTTTATTTTTATTGTATTATTACTATCATTATCATCATTATTATTGCTATAACCCACACTTTCGAAGACAACGTTACTGTAATGTTATAATTATGGTTGTAATTCTGATGAAGTACCTAAATTTTGTATGTTCTTATTATATATTATCATATTTTCACTACATGGCATATTTTTCAGTTTAAATTTATTCTGAAAGTAAAATGATCTTATTGCAATTTTATAATATTATCATCGTTATCGTTATTGCTTCAGGAACAACAGCTCCGTGTCCTGATCTGAACATGCAGTGCAACACTACCGGTGGATACTGTAATCACGAGTGCAATTCTGGCGAAGTGGCTGTGGCGGGGCTCTGCGCATTCGAAAACTGCTCCTGCTGTGTTAAGGGTAATGCGTTTATCCATTTACTTCTGTATCCATATAACGTTTATCATGGTATATCCATTAAGGTTGTTTAAAAAAATCACTATTACTAAAAGCTTTGTATAGTGTATAAGTGATGGTCTTTATCTATCCTTCCAACACATTATCGTCATTATCATCCTCAATGTTAGTATGAACATCATCTGAACTTCAGTCACTAATCAGGGACTAATCCATCCTCACTGCAGATACAGAACCTTGTCCAGATTTGGAGCAACAGTGTGCCTCCAGACACGGATACTGTAACCCTGAGTGCATGTCTGACGAAGAAGCTGTATCGGGGCTCTGCAAATACGACAACTGTTCCTGCTGCGTCAAGGGTAGACCATTTCTATATTTTGGCATTCGTACTTGAATAAGCTATTAGTCAAAGTATATGTAAAATTTAGATAGCAAAATATATGATGGTCTCGCAGGCGAATGGGTTTCCTTCTTGAATTTGTGCGATATATGCAGGGCTCTGCGCATTCGAAAACTGCTCCTGTTGTGTCTAGGGTAGGCTTTTTTCTATTGTCCGTACTTTAAGGAAGCTATTATAATGATAGAAAATTGATTTGGTTTGTGAAGTGACATCCGAGTAATGAAGGCCATGTATATGTACGGGACCTCGTAGGATCTCAGTGTGCATAGGATCTCTTTGTCCTTCACAATAATTGAAAAGTCACGGTCTGTCTGTGCCTGGATACTCTGAAAGATGATCGTTAAATATATTTTGTTGGTAAATTACACCTCTCTTAGGTGCGAGACACGTAACTAATGTATTTATGTATGTATTCTAATGTATGTTTATAGTTGTGGAGTAAATGAAACGCATTCTACAGTTTCTATTTACTTCAGTGTTATGTTTCACATTCATGGATATACTATACAGACAAGTACATGATATTACACAATTTAGGATTAATATTTGTATAAGGTCCAATATCAGTGCAAACTCTTCACTTAGTGCAATCATTACTATCACTATTATTGTTATCATTATTGCTCCAGCATCAACAGATCCATGTCCGGATCTGAACATGCAATGCAACACTACCGGTGGATACTGTAATCACGAGTGCAAGTCTGGCGAAGTGGCTGTGGCGGGGCTCTGCGCATTCGAAAACTGCTCCTGCTGTGTTAAGGGTAATGTGTTTATTAATTTACTTCTGTATTCATACAACGATTATCATGAGGATTAAAGCAATAATGATAATGATAGGGATAATGATAATGAAAACGATAATAACAATAATGTAAAGTAATAATAACAGTAATAAGATAAAGAATGCTAACGGATACATGAATTATTATATCTACCGTTGGTCATAATTTTCACTATTACCAAAGGCTTGGTATGGTTTACAACAGATGGTTCTAATCTGTCCCTCCAACACTTATCATCATCGTCATTATCATCCTCAATGTTAGTATGAACATCACCATCTGAACTTCAGTCACTAATCAGGGACAAATCCATCCTCACTGCAGATACAGAACCTTGTCCAGACTTGGAGCAACAGTGTGCCTCCAGACACGGATACTGTAACCCTGAGTGCATGTCTGACGAAGAAGCTGTATCGGGGCTCTGCAAATACGACAACTGCTCCTGCTGCGTCAAGGGTAGACCATTTCTATTTTTTTGGCATTCGTACTTGAACAAGCTATTAGTCAAAAGTATATGTAAAATTTTCATTGCAGAAGATAATACCATTAATCATTACTACGATTATGGTCATGCCACCATTATTGTCTTAGTGTCAGTGAGCACAAAAAACTAATCCATCCTCTCTGCGGACACAGATCCGTGTCCAGATCTCAACATGCAGTGCAACACTACTGGTGGATATTGCAACGACAGGTGCAAGTCTGACGAAGTGGCTCTGTCGGGGCTCTGCAGATACGACAACTGCTCCTGCTGTGTCAAGGGTAATGTGTTTATATTTTACTATATGCAGTAATATAATTTTTACTAGTACCTTATTTTCTCTAATTTTTCCCTTCCCATAAGGAAGCTTCTTATAACTAATCATAACTGCACAACATCGTCAACTAAACAAACGTAAATGTTAAAGGTTTTCAAACTAAACGGTGTTAAAATTAATCCAGTAATTATGAAAGACAGGAAACCTTAAACTTCTAAACTATGTGCATTCCTAATCTATCTCTATCTTGTTGCTTTTAGTCAACATCATAAAGAGCTAATCTATCCTCACTGCAGATACAGAACCTTGTCCAGATTTAGAGCAACAGTGTCTCTCCAGACATGGATACTGTAACCATAAGTGCCTGCCTGACGAAGTGGCTCTGTCAGGGTTCTGTAAATACGACAACTGCTCCTGCTGTGTCAAGGGTAATCTACTTCAATTCGCTTTTGAGACCCGTGCATTAAGAATGCCATGAATAATGGGAATCAGTAACTATCGATGTCTTAATGATATTCTACTAATGAAGGGTTCGCAGCCGAATAGACTTCACTTATCAAATTTTGCGATACAGGCACTCACTTAATATTAATATTTATACAAATTTCATAAAGGGAATTTAAAGGGAACCTTCTGTCTATCGCTCTGCGAACACAACTACATGTATGTGTGTAGTTTTCCGACCGCTGCGCCTGACTTGACAATGGATAGCTATCCATTATTTTTTTTTTATCCTTATTTTACAAATGCATCATTCGTATATATGCTCTGCCATAATTCGCATTAAGAATGATTTATTTTCTGTAATCGGTAATGATCATCTATTAATCATACGTCGAATATCTATCATGCAATACAACTTGGTGTTCATGCTACGTGGAAATGAGTGATCAAAATACATTTCACATTAGATTCTTCCACGTGAGGAAGTATGTATGTGTATATGGATGAATGTCTTAACAAATGATTAAGCATCTACCGACAGACACTTAAAGGAATAACTATATATGCAGTTATGCATTTCTATCCACATATATATATACATATATATATATATATATATATATATATATATATATATATATATATATATATATATAGACACTGAACGAGTAGAATTCTTTCCGAGCCTTTACTTATCAATATAATAGCGAGAAAAGTCATAATTAAAATTATTTTTTTATCATTGTTACTATTGGTACCGCCTTTTTCGGCACCAAGTATATAATCAGGTATCGTTTCCTATATTTTTAATTTAACTGATTTTATTTTTACGACAAGCAATTATTCTCTATAAAAAACAAGCAAACAAACAAGCAAACAGTAAAATGAAGCTCAAAATGAAGCTAGTAATGATGAATTCATGGATTTGCTACTCTCAAAGATTTTTTTTTTAACCATGTTTATTTTATGTTATTATTATAATCATTATCCGATTTTTTTTATTATTATTACTTTTTTATTATTATTTTTTTGCAATGACTAAATCACGGCAGTTTTAAAAGCATAGCACTAGTGGGGCTTCCAATCCATAACTCTTGTCCATCTAAAACCTTGTTTCATTTTGGCCTTCTTACCTGTTTCTAGTTGAAGTGAACAAACATTATCTGCGTCATCGCTATCAGTTATTTTATTATCGTTCTTATTGTCCTTAATGTTCTTCAGATGTTTATTATGATTATGGTCATGCTTATGTTTCTAACGACTTATATATCTTTTACACCTAACAAAGAGCATTAATAGCCACCTGTAGCCCTGATTCATTTCTAGACATGTTACGCTTGTTTGTTTTTATTTTTCGTGTTTTTTAATTTTATTTTTATTGTATTATTACTATCATTATCATCATTATTATTGCTATAACCCACACTTTCGAAGATAACGTTACTGTAATGTTATAATTATGGTTGTAATTCTGATGAAGTACCTAAATTTTGTATGTTCTTATTATATATTATCATATTTTCACTACATGGCATATTTTTCAGTTTAAATTTATTCTGAAAGTAAAATGATCTTATTGCAATTTTATAATATTATCATCGTTATCGTTATTGCTTCAGGAACAACAGCTCCGTGTCCTGATCTGAACATGCAGTGCAACACTACCGGTGGATACTGTAATCACGAGTGCAATTCTGGCGAAGTGGCTGTGGCGGGGCTCTGCGCATTCGAAAACTGCTCCTGCTGTGTTAAGGGTAATATGTTTATCCATTTTCTTCTGTATCCATATAACGTTTATCATGGTATATCCATTAAGGTTGTTTAAAAAAATCACTATTACTAAAAGCTTTGTATAGTGTATAAGTGATGGTCTTTATCTATCCTTCCAACACATTATCGTCATTAACATCCTCAATGTTAGTATGAACATCACCATCTGAACTTTAGTCACTAATCAGGGACTAATCCATCCTCACTGCAGATACAGAACCCTGTCCAGATTTGGAGCAACAGTGTGCCTCCAGACACGGATACTGTAACCCTGAGTGCATGTCTGACGAAGAAGCTGTATCGGGGCTCTGCAAATACGACAACTGCTCCTGCTGCGTCAAGGGTAGACCATTTCTATTTTTTGGCATTCGTACTTGAACAAGCTATTAGTCAAAAGTATATGTAAAATTTTGATAGCAAAATATATGATGGTCTCGCAGGCGAATGGGTTTCCTTCTTGAATTTGTGCGATATATGCAGGGCTCTGCGCATTCGAAAACTGCTCCTGTTGTGTCAAGGGTAGGCTTTTTTTCTATTGTCCGTACTTTAAGGAAGCTATTATAATGATAGAAAATTGATTTGGTTTGTGAAGTGACATCCGAGTAATGAAGGTCATGTAGATGTACGGGACCTCGTAGGATCTCATTGTGCGTAGGATCTCTTTGTCCTTCACAATAATTGAAAAGTCACGGTCTGTCTGTGCCTGGATACTCTGAAAGATGATCGTTAAATATATTTCGTTGGTAAATTACACTTCTCTTAGGTGCGAGACACGTAACACTCCTTTCTAATGTATATTTATAGTTGTGGAGTAAATGAAACGCATTCTACAGTTTCTATTTACTTCAATGTTATGTTTCACATTCATGGATATACTATACAGACAAGTACATGATATTACACAATTTAGGATTAGTATTTGTATAAGGTCCAATATCAGTACAAACTCTTCACTTAGTACAATCATTACTGTCACTATTATTGTTATCATTATTGCTCCAGCATCAACAGATCCATGTCCGGATCTGAACATGCAATGCAACACTACCGGTGGATACTGTAATCACGAGTGCAAGTCTGGCGAAGTGGCTGTGGCGGGGCTCTGCGCATTCGAAAACTGCTCCTGCTGTGTTAAGGGTAATGTGTTTATCCATTTCTGTATTCATACAACGATTACCATGATGATAAAAGCAATACTGATAATGATAATGATAGGGATAATAATAATGATAACGATAGGGATAATGATAATGAAAACGATAATAACAATAATGTAAAGTAATAATAACAGTAATAAGATAAAGAATGCTAACGGATACATGTATTATTTTATATACCGTTGGTCATAATTTTCACTATTACTAAAGGCTTGGTATGGTGTATAACAGATGGTTCTAATCTGTCCCTCCAACACTTAGCACCATCGTCATTATCATCCTCAATGTTAGTATGAACATCACCATCTGAACTTCAGTCACTAATCAGGGACTAATCCATCCTCACTGCAGATACAGAACCCTGTCCAGATTTGGAGCAACAGTGTGCCTCCAGACACGGATACTGTAACCCTGAGTGCATGTCTGACGAAGAAGCTGTATCGGGGCTCTGCAAATACGATAACTGCTCCTTGCTGCGTCAAGGGTAGGCTATTTTCAATCCTTCTAGCATTCGTACTTGGAAAAGTTCTAAGTAAATAGAATTTTTTAGATACTGATAGCAAAATGATAGGCAACTTTCCTTCATGAACATTTGCGATATATGTACCTTATGTAGCATTTATCTATATGAGCTTTTTATTGTCCTTATTGTTGATACGGTCGTTATCCCAGCGTCAGCAGATCCCTGTCCAGATCTGAACATGCAGTGCAACACTACTGGTGGATACTGTAATCACGAGTGCAAGTCTGGCGAAGTGGCTGTGGCGGGGCTCTGCGCATTCGAAAACTGCTCCTGCTGTGTTAAGGGTAATGTTTTTCTCCATTTACTTCTGTATTCATACAACGATTATCATGATGATAAAAGCAATAATGATAATGATAGGGATAATGATAATGAAAACGATAATAACAATAATGTTAAGTAATAATAACAGTAATAAGATAAAGAATGCTAACGGATACATGAATTATTATATCTACCGTTGGTCATAATTTTCACTATTACTAAAGGCTTGGTATGGTGTATAACAGACAGTTCTAATATGTCCCTCCAACACTTATCATCATCGTCATTATCATCCTTAATGTTAGTATGAACATCACCATCTGAACTTCAGTCACTAATCAGGGACTAATCCATCCTCACTGCAGATACAGAACCCTGTCCAGATTTGGAGCAACAGTGTGCCTCCAGACACGGATACTGTAACCCTGAGTGCATGTCTGACGAAGAAGCTGTATCGGGGCTCTGCAAATACGATAACTGCTCTTGCTGCGTCAAGGGTAGGCTATTTTCAATCCTTCTAGCATTCGTACTTGGAAAAGTTCTAAGTAAATAGAATTTTTTAGATACTGATAGCAAAATGATAGGCAACTTTCCTTCATGAACATTTGCGATATATGTACCTTATGTAGCATTTATCTATATGAGCTTTTTATTGTCTTTATTGTTGATACGGTCGTTATCCCAGCGTCAGCAGATCCCTGTCCAGATCTGAACATGCAGTGCAACACTACCGGTGGATACTGTAATCACGAGTGCAAGTCTGGCGAAGTGGCTGTGGCGGGGCTCTGCGCATTCGAAAACTGCTCCTGCTGTGTTAAGGGTAATGTTTTTCTCCATTTACTTCTGTATTCATACAACGATTATCATGATGATAAAAGCAATAATGATAATGATAGGGATAATGATAATGAAAACGATAATAACAATAATGTTAAGTAATAATAACAGTAATAAGATAAAGAATGCTAACGGATACATGAATTATTATATCTACCGTTGGTCATAATTTTCACTATTACCAAAGGCTTGGTATGGTTTATAACAGATGGTTCTAATCTGTCCCTCCAACACTTAGCACCATCGTCATTATCATCCTCAATGTTAGTATGAACATCATCTGAACTTCAGTCACTAATCAGGGACTAATCCATCCTCACTGCAGATACAGAACCCTGTCCAGATTTGGAGCAACAGTGTGCCTCCAGACACGGATACTGTAATCCTGAGTGCATGTCTGACGAAGAAGCTGTATCGGGGCTCTGCAAATACGATAACTGCTCCTGCTGCGTCAAGGGTAGGCTATTTTCAATCCTTCTAGCATTCGTACTTGGAAAAGTTCTAAGTAAATAGAATTTTTTAGATACTGATAGCAAAATGATAGGCAACTTTCCTTCATGAACATTTGCGATATATGTACCTTATGTAGCATTTATCTATATGAGCTTTTTATTGTCCTTATTGTTGATACGGTCGTTATCCCAGCGTTAGCAGATCCCTGTCCAGATTTGAACATGCAGTGCAACACTACTGGTGGATACTGTAATCACGAGTGCAAGTCTGGCGAAGTGGCTGTGGCGGGGCTCTGCGCATTCGAAAACTGCTCCTGCTGTGTTAAGGGTAATGTGTTTATCCATTTTCTTCTGTATCCTTACAACGTTCATCATGGTAAGAAAACCAACGCCGATAATAATGACAATGATAGTGATATTGATAACGACAGTGATGGTGATAATGTTAATGATAATGACAAAGGTAATAATAATGTAGGATGAAAATGAGAATGATAACAATAAGGTAAAATGATAAAAATAAAATTATAATACCAACGGATACATGTATTACTATATCCATTAACGTTGTTTAAAAAAAATCACTATTACTAAAAGCTTTATATAGTGTATAAGTGATGGTTCTTATCTATCCTTCCAACACATTATCGTCATTATCATCCTCAATGTTAGTATGAACATCATCTGAACTTCAGTCACTAATCAGGGACTAATCCATCCTCACTGCAGATACAGAACCCTGTCCAGATTTGGAGCAACAGTGTGCCTCCAGACACGGATACTGTAACCCTGAGTGCATGTCTGACGAAGAAGCTGTATCGGGGCTTTGCAAATACGACAACTGCTCCTGTTGTGTCAAGGGTAGGCTATTTTCTATCAGCTTTAAACTCCGTACTATAAGAGAATTATTATAAGTGATAGAAAATTAAAAAATATGGGTTGTGAAATGATATCCAAGTAATGAAGGTCCCGTTTGTCAAATTTTGCGATATACTTACTATAGTCGGTATTATTTATAGGAGCTTTACTGAAGAAACTTATAGGGAACTGATTCACTGTATGTACATAGATTTACATAGTCACACGCACACACCCCTTTCACTGTCTCCAAACAAACGAAGGTTTCTAATACTTTCCTTATCAAGATAAATTAACTAATCATGACAGTCCTCAGCTCTCTAATTTTTCAAATATGTTTCTCTCCCGACGTTTTTATTTTTCACTTTTTTTCAGGAGACTGGATCTGTACCTCTAATGATTCCAAATCTTATTCCTTTGGCTTTATCTCGCTCTGTGTTTTTCCAGCCTTTTTGATTGGTCATACTGGTGTTTCTCACGATATGTCTGTCTTTTGTACCTTCTAATTGAAACGTTCCTCTTGATCATCTGCAGTTGGAATTCATTTCTAGTCATGTTCTTTTCTGTCTTTCTCTTTGCATTTCCTGTGTGTTTGGCTCTTCATTATACTAATGTCATTATCGTCTTTTTCATTAATATGGCTGATAATAAATGCAATTACGTAGATGAATTATGTACCAATTACTCTAATCATTTTATTGCCAATAAATGATCATGATTTGTACAAGGATCACTGTCAAGGCAAATTCTTCACTTATTGGAATCATCATTGTTATCCTTATTATCATTGCCGTTATTGTCGCAGCATTAGCAGACCCATGCCCAGATCTGAACATGCAGTGCAACACTACCGGTGGATACTGTAATCACGAGTGCAAGTCTGGCGAAGTGGCTGTGGCGGGGCTCTGCGCATTCGAAAACTGCTCCTGCTGCGTTAAGGGTAATGTGTTTCTCCATTTACTTCTGTATTCATACAACGATTATCATGAGGATTAAAGCAATAATGATAATGATAGGGATAATGATAATGAAAACGATAATAACAGTAATGTAAAGTAATAATAACAGTAATAAGATGAAGAATGCTAACGGATACATGAATTATTATATCTACCGTTGGTCATAATTTTCACTATTACCAAAGGCTTGGTATGGTTTATAACAGATGGTTCTAATCTGTCCCTCCAACACTTAGCACCATCGTCATTATCATCCTCAATGTTAGTATGAACATCACCATCTGAACTTCAGTCACTAATCAAGGACCAATCCATCCTCACTGCAGATACAGAACCCTGTCCAGATTTGGAGCAACAGTGTGCCTCCAGACACGGATACTGTAACCCTGAGTGCATGTCTGACGAAGAAGCTGTATCGGGGCTCTGCAAATACGACAACTGCTCCTGTTGTGTCAAGGGTAGGCTATTTTCTATCAGCTTTAAACTCCGTACTATAAGAGAATTATTATAAGTGATAGAAAATTAAATAATATGGGTTGTGAAATGACATCCAAGTAATGAAGGTCCCGTTTGTCAAATTTTGCGATATACTTACTATAGTCGGTATTATTTAGAGGAGCTTTACAGAAGAAACTTATAAGGGGACTGATTCACTGTATGTAGATTTACATAGTCACACGCACACACACCTTTCACTGTCTCCAAACAAACGAAGGTTTCTAATACTTTCCTTATCAAGATTAACTAATCATGACAGTCCTCAGCTCTCTAGTTTTTCAAATATG